AAGGTGAGGATACTCCCACAGTGCTCTGCGGCGGCGGGAGGATGCTGAGGGGTGGCCCGGGCAGGGACACGGAGCCGGATGCTGGGCTGGAGAGGGAGGCACGGGAGGACAGAAGGGTTTTTGTTCGGAGCTGAGCGCCCCGGGCTCAGCTCGGCCGCTCCTTCCCCACCCGCAGCGCACAGTGCAGAAGAATGCCAAGTACATCTGCCTGGCCAACAAGGACTGCCCTGTGGACAAGCGGCGCAGGAACCGCTGCCAGTTCTGCCGCTTCCAGAAGTGCCTGGCCGTGGGCATGGTCAAAGAAGGTACCAGAACCCTCCGCAGTCCCCTCTCTGCAGCCTCTGTGGCTGCTCTAGGACAGGCACTCACTGCAATCCCCACACAGTGGTCCGGACCGACAGCCTGAAGGGGAGGCGAGGCCGGCTCCCCTCCAAGCCCAAGCAGCCGCCGGATGCGTCCCCGGTCAGCCTCATCACCTCGCTGGTGCGGGCTCACATCGACTCCATCCCCAGTGCCACCAAGCTGGACTACTCCAAGGTAGGGCTGGTGCCACTCCACGCCCTGCCCAGGGCCGTGCTGGGGCTGCGGTTGGATCCTGACCCATTCCCATCCCAATCCTGACCCATCCCTGTCCCAGTTCCTCACCCATCCCCATCCCAGTTCCTCACCCATCCCCATCCCAGTTCCTGATGCTGTCCTCATCCTGTTCCTGATCCAAACTCATCCTGTTGCTAACCCAACAGTTCCTGACCTGTCCCCATCCCAAATCTTGATCCCATTCCCAGCCAGTTCCTCACCCATCTTCATCCCAGCTCCTGATCCCATTCCCACCCCAATTCCCAATCCACCCCTGTCCTAGGTCCTTACTCATTCCAGTTCCTGACCCATCCCCATCTCAATCTTGACCCATCCCCATCCCAATCCTGACTCATCCCAATCCTGGCCCATCCCAGTTCTTCACCCATCCCCATCCCAGTCCTGACCCATCTCTATCCCAGTCCTGGATCATCCCCATCCCAATCTTGACCCATCCCATCCCAATCCTGACCCATCCCAATCCTGACCTGTGCCCATCCCAGTCCTGACCCATCCCCATCCCAGTCCTGACCCATCACCATCCCAGTCCTGGATCATCCCAATCTTGACCATCCCATCCCAATCCTGACCCATCCCAATCCTGACCTGTGCCCACCTCATTCCTGACCCATCCCCATCCCACTCCTGACCCATCTTAGTCCTGACTCATTCCCATCCCAGTTCTTTACCTGTGCCCATCCCAATCTTCACCCATCCCACCCCAGATCCTGACCCATCCCCATCCCAGTCCTGACCTGTGCCCACCCCACTCCTGACCCGTGCCCACGGCAGTTCCAGGAGTCAGCCCCGTGCCCGTTTGAGAAGGAGGACTCCGTGGACGTGCAGCAGTTCTACGACCTCCTCACCGGCTCCATGGACGTCATCCGCAAGTGGGCCGAGAAGATCCAGGGCTTCAGCGAGCTGCCCAAGGAGGACCAGGACCTCCTGCTGGAGTCAGCCTTCCTGGAGCTCTTCATCCTTCGCCTGGCGTACCGGTGAGCCCTGGGGCAGCCCAGAGCAGGGGGTGACACCTGGGTTTCTGCTGGGGGTGACACCTGGGTTTCTGCTGGAGTGACACCTGGATTTCCACTGGGGGTGACACCTGGGTTTCTGCTGGGGGAGCCCAAGCTGTGCCCAGGGTGACACCTGGATTTCTACTGGGGGTGGCACCTGGGTTTCTGCTGGAGTGACACCTGGATTTCTACTGGGGGTAACACCTGGATTTCTGCTGGGGGAGCCCGAGCTGGAGAGGGTGACACAAGGATTTCTGCTGGATTTGTGCTGGGGGAGCCCCCGAGCTGGGGTGGCGACACCTGGGTTTCTCCTGGGGGAGCCCAAGCTGGGGGAGGTGACACCTGGGTTTCTGCTGGGGGAGCCCAAGCTGTGCCCAGGGGTGACACCTGGATTTCTCCTGGCAGCTCCAAGCCAGAGGAAGGCAAACTCATCTTCTGCAACGGCGTGGTGCTGCACCGGCAGCAGTGCGTGCGTGGCTTCGGCGAGTGGATCGACGCCATCCTCGAGTTCTCCCAGAGCCTGCACCGCATGAGCGTCGATGTCCCCTCCTTCTCCTGCCTCGCCGCCCTCGTCATCATCACAGGTGAGATCCTCCCAGCTCCAGGCTTGTCGCTGTCCCCATCGCCACCTGCTG